GGGTTCTAGCCTCAAGGCGAATAGTGCAAGAAAATAAAATCTAAACTACAAAATAAATTACAAAAACTAAGCTACAAAATAAATTGCAAGAATTAAATACGAGAAAATAAAGACATGAAATAAATCTAATCTATAAGCATGAAATAAATCTAAGGTAGGAGGGTTCTAACCTCTTGGCTATTTAACAAGAAAATAAAATCTAATTACAAGCATAGAAATAAATCTAAACTAATAAGCAATAAAAAAAGAAAAAAGAAAAATAAAAGAAATGCAAACCTCCAAATAATTCTTCATCTCCATCTTCATCATCCAACAAAGAGAAGAAGTATTCAAAGTGGTGAAAAAATTATTTTATTAATTGTAACAAAAGTTAAAAATTTAGAAGGCCTTCTCAATTAAGAGTGGTCCTCCTCTCCAAATGGAGTTACAAAAATTTTCACACCCTCAATCCCTCACTCTCTACCCCTATTCATAGTAAACATCAGTGAATGAGAGCCATTGGATTGAAATCTTATCCAAAACAAGCAAATTTCAGCCATTGATCTGTAACAGAACGACATAAGTATCGATACCAGCATCGATGCTGGTATCGATACGGGTATCGATGCTGGCATCGATACCCATATCCCTCCTTTTGTAATCCGCTGATTTCCTCTTTCATTTGGCTTTGGCTTTGGGCTTTTGGACTTGGGCTTGGGCTCTTTCATGTATTTGCATATATTCTTTATTAATTCATGGGCTTTGTTGAGAGAAGAGATATTGAGCTTTTTATTTTTAATTAACCTGCAATTAAAGATAAAAATAATTATTAGTGGCATATTTATTGATATAAAATAGATAATGAGGGTATAAAATTATAATAAAATGTGATTATCATATAATATATTATAGTTTTTAATATGTTAGAGTTTATTAATAGTACTTTAATAATATATTAGTATTTATGATATAAATAAATATTATTATATTATGAATATATTATTTTTACATTAACATTTGTTAGCAATAAATTATTTTATTATTTAAAATTATTTTACTTTATAATAAATTATATTATTTATTATATAATATACTAATATTTTATATATTATATTACATTTACTATACAATATATTATAATAATAATAATATTATATTGTTATTTAATTATTAAATATGTTACTATTAATAATATTTTATAATTATTAATTTATCACAATTTATTTATTAAAAAGTTAATAATATTATAGCGATTATACTATTATATAGTATATTATAATATCATTATTATATTATTATTTATTACCAATAACTTTTTATTATTTTTTATTAGTTTATTTATATTTTATTATTATTTATTATTATATAATACATTATTAACATATTAAACACTGGTATTTAATATATTATTATATTATTGTATAAGATATAATAATTATCATATTTTATATTATTTAATAAATATTAATTATATATTAAATTAACTATAATATAGTATAATATAATAAGCATATTGATAATAACACTATAATATTATAGCGATTATACTATTATATAGTATATTATAATATCATTATTATATTATTATTTATTACCAATAACTTTTTATTATTTTTTATTAGTTTATTTATATTTTATTATTATTTATTATTATATAATACATTATTAACATATTAAACACTGGTATTTAATATATTATTATATTATTGTATAAGATATAATAATTATCATATTTTATATTATTTAATAAATATTAATTATATATTAAATTAACTATAATATAGTATAATATAATAAGCATATTGATAATAACACTATATTAATTACATTTAATATATTATGTCATATATTATATTAACACATTATCAAACTCAAAACCAAAACACCAAACTTAAAACACCTAAAAAGTGTGTTGAAATAATGTTGTGTTTTTGGTTTGAGGATGATTTAGCTCAAAAACATCATGTTTTCCAAACGTATGGTGTTTTGTTTTTGGTAAAAACACCATGTAAACAAGTAAAACACCAAGGTATCCAAACGGAGCCTAAATGAATTAAAATCAGATCTGATGATATGACAATAATTAACTCACTAATTTCATAAAAGGGAAATCGACAAAACTATATTTTTGGATTGAGATTTCCTCTTTGACTTCTTTGCGATAGAGAAAAAAACTCTAGAGCTCTTCACATGCCGGAATCCCTTTGACCCTCCACCATGAATGGCTCCCGCCAATGAATCTTTTTGTGAGCGCCTCCTCACGCCACCTCCACTGTCAGTGCCTCCTGTTCTCTGACAAGCATCAACAAGATGAAAAAACACAAAAGATCGAAAGTGCATCTTTCCTAACTTGATTGGTACAGGTTGAATCTCTAGAATACACAATGCAGTAGCCTTTCACCCGATTTAAAATTGAATTTTTGTGGTGCTATCTTGATTGTGATGGGAACGGGGGTCCATCCCCATGATGAATTAACATAAATTTATTTTATGGAAATTTTGTGGCTGACTACATGCATACATTGATAGATATTCTTTTCCCATGCATTGAGAAAAGGAAGGGCTAGTCTTTGGACTTCCCTGTGCAATGAATGTGGTGTATCCAAGAGGCATATCCTTCCTATAAATAGATGGCAGATGGTGAAGGTTGACAACAAGAAGCAAGAATAAGAACCACATACAAAGTTGTAATCTTCAAGTGAGTTTGAAAGAAAGTGATACTCAAGTTAATTTATACCAACTTGAGAGAAAACCCTTCCACTAGTACAAAACAGGTCAGCCCAAACGGTTGGAACCGTTTGGGAAAACCCCCTCCCAAACGGTTATAACCGTTTGGGCGATGTAAAACACCTATTTGGGCTAAAGCCGTTGGGGAAGAGTTGTCCCCAACGGTCGCCCAAACGGTTGCAACCATTTGGGCAAACTCCCAAACGGTTACAACCGTTTGGGATGTTTCCCAAACGGTTACAACCGTTTGGGCCAAATGTTAGCCCAAACGGATGTAACCGTTTGGCCAAAAGTTAGCCCAAACGGTTGAAACCGTTTGGGTAATTTTTCGCCCAAACCGTTTGAGCTATTTATTTTAATAGTTTTAAACTTTCGGCTTCTTTATTTATTTACATGTTTATATACACATCTCACACAATAAGTACTAAACATCTCACAATAAAATCAAAATATTCTCATACTTTGCTAAATATCCAATGTTATATATTCATACATAATGTTTACTCAATATACTTAGAGACAAAACATATACATACAAAAGACTAGTTGCCCATTACAGTAGCTCATAAAAAGACTTCAGACTTCACCGGAGCACAATATCACTCCGAACCCCTGGAAACCTTAGCAGGCTCACATTTATTCCTTATAGCATTATTATTAAAACCCACAGAATATTTCACTCTGATCAACCCGCAGGAGCATGGATAGTTCTCGGATTCCTCTGTAGTATGCCACGATATTCCAGCAGTTCATTAACGGTTTGAGCCACAACCTTTACTGGATTATAATTCGGTGATGGTCCCTCAACTTCAAGTGTCTGAGGAACCCATTTATAGGTCGGATCAGCATCATAGAACAAACAACATCCAGAGAGCTCTCCCCACCGATGGACCAAGGTCTCGACCCAAACGGGGGTTTTCTGGCTTTGCTGCCTTGTCCTCCTCAGATAGCTACTAATCGGAATAAACCTCGCAGACTCACAGAACATACCAATCACAATGAGCAGCGCTTGGGCTCTTTTCGTGATGTCAGTTGTTGAGTTTCCAAGCCATTGTGCTGCGTTCATGAGATTCTGTCACCCAAGGGTGACTTCAGTGAGACCTCCTGCTGGATCGAAGCCAGCTGCGCGTAACAGGGTAGTGTAGTTATGCCCGTAACCAAGAAGTGTCGAGTCTTTGTCGAGTCTTTATCAATCGGCGCTTATCTCCGAGCTCGAACCATTTACTATCGTTGTTCACGCAAAAGCCCTGCAAGTAGAGCTGGTTGCGTCGGATCCTCAGGCTGGCCCTACTCTCCCCATCATTGAAAACCAGTACAAAGTCGTACCAAGTGAGCTTCTCCACCCAATCAGGATCGTTTTCGTTGAGTACCAAGTGAGCTTCTTTCACTAGTACAAAAATTAGAAGTTGACATTTTTCCTTGAAATGAAAGCTACCATAAGCACGGTAACGTGAAACAGCGCCAAGCAAATCAGCCAGGGTTCCTATGAATATGAAATAACGAAAAGATTTAACATTGACATTGTTGCAAGACAAACCTGAATAAAAGACCAAATACATAACGGGGTAAATATGGAGATTCAGATCCTACATCAACTGTCAAGAAAGTACCTCAATATTAAATTTACAGCACGGAAAACATTTCATGGTACAAAATGCATATGATAAGTGGGACAACTTTCTTATGTAAGAAGAACTGTCATCGGATAGCAGCCAAACTTTTGCATTTGATTTAATGATTTAATGATTGAAATCGAATCATGGGTACCTCTAGTAAAAATTGGTAGTCGCTGCTACATTCACTAGTACAGATTTTCGCTTGAATAGAGCTTAAATTTGGGCTTGGATAGCGCTTTTAAGCGCTATGCAAGCTACCGCTATGGTAGCTACAATAGCGCTTAAAAAAGCGCTATCCGAAGGCTCGACTATAATAGCGCTTTATAAGATAGCGCTTATAAAAGCGCTATCCAAGCATTTAAAAAAAATCGTTTGCTTCTATAGCGCATAAATAAGCGCTATTGTAGTTCAAAAAAAAAAAAAAACCAGCTATGATAGCGCTAAAAAAGCGCTATTGAAGTTAGCTATTTGAACTACAATAGCGCTTTAAAAAACGCTATGCCAGTTCCAAAAAAAATACTGTACATTTACCCTATAGCGTTTAAAGAAGCGCTAACTAAGTTTTTGCATCTATTTTTTTAATTAATTTTTTAAATTTTTGATACCTAATTTTCTAGGTCTAAATATTTAAATACTTACATAAATAACGATTTTCTATCCATCAATAACAATCTAACAAAAGGACAAAAATAATATCCATTCATACAAAATATATATATTGCAATCATTCAGTCAAAACATTATATATAACTGTTAAAATGGAAATACAAAAATTAGTTAGTAGCACAATCATAACTAATATCATTAATTAATTCTCTTCTTCTTCTTGTTGCTTGTGCTTGAGATTGATCCACTATCAGCATTTGACTCATTCAAGCTTGCCGCGTCATCTAACAAGTCAAGTTCTTCCACGATATCTACGTACTGCTGTTTTAGCCTTCTTCCCAGTGGCTCGATCCTTGCCAAATATAGTACATAACTCTACATAGTGGGGAAATGGCTTGCTCCTCCATTTTCCAGCAGCTTTGTGAGACTGCAAGTATGAGAAGAGGCAAAATAAACAAAATTATCACAACTCATGAGATATAACAACAATGTGAGACTGCAAGTATGAGAAGAGGCAAAATAAACAAAATTATCACAACTCATGAGATATAACAACAAAAATTCATAATGTGTAAAACTATTGTTACATACATGTAATCTGTAAGACAATAGTGGCTGAAAGACACACATAGCTTTGTTGAATAAATCATACAAAATGCATCTAGAGATAAAAAAAAGTGTAATCCACCATTCATTGTTAGAATTTTTGACTCCCATCAGCTTCAGTACATCACTAAATAATTTTGGCACTTTTTGAATGCAATATAAATTTCTAGGCCATGTAATGTACATGTATATTGTTCCTATTAAAGTATTCATGCAAAATCAGATATTACCCAGATTAATATGAGTTGGATTTATTAAATCCATAGATTGATGTATAACCAACCACAAGGCAGAGTTACTTTATATTTACATTGGTAGCCAACTAAGGCAAGGAGAAAAATCATATACAAAAATAATAATAATTGAGATAAGTGCTTGAACTATGATTGACTATAACTATGCTTGACAATATTCTTATGCTTTGCCTCTGAATAACACGCAAAGTTCTACATGCACAAGACCTCACCATTTGCGACAAACCTCACCATTTGCAACAATTCATCTTTATTAACAGCTATAACAGGAGGTGTATGAGAATTGTTTCTCCCACCTCTACGATCGGAAAAACTTGCGGAACCCCGGCCTTGAGATTTCCATCCTTGTTTTCCTCTACCTCCCCATGCAACATTTGGAGTCTCAATCTCAGGGGTATTCCCTGTCCATGGATTTTCTCTACCCTCATTCCAACCAGGAGAGGCTTTGAATTCAGACTCATTACCTCCCAACACACTATCAACCCCATTGGTTGACCAGCCTTTTTTTCTCAGAGGAATTTTCATTCCAAGGCGAATTTTCATTCCAATCCATATATCTATAAAATGCAATGTATATGCAAAGTTAACGTATTAAGTTAGCATACCAAGTTAACGTACTAGCCACATGTATATGCAAATTATGGCTGCGGGCTCAGAATTTGGTCAGTATCATCATTGTTAGTCATCCAGTGCAATATCAACGGATATTGTAGGTTGCTAATCTCAGAAAATTTTAAAATCATCATAGCCTAAAAATAAAAAATCCCATTATGATATCAAGGCTTGGTAGACACTATGTAAGCATGCAACCTCATGAATATATAAAGATATACATATGTCAAAAAACAACATAAGAACACCATCGGTTCGTTTTCTTCCAGATTTGGCACCCATTTTTTAATTTATCTTCAGTTTTAACATCTGAATTTTGTTTTGGACCCAAGGATATTTTAGGGAGTCAAGGCCAAATTTCATCAAATATTGGTCATTTGGCCATTTCCCCTTTTGTCCCTTTGGTTGTTTTTTCTCTCTTCTAATTGTATCATATTTAGTAATGATGAACCCAAATAACCCCTGACTCACCCAAGGCCATGTCGTTCCCATCCCTCTCATCCCAGTGAGACGGAATTCTAAGAGGTGAGGGAGGGTGTTGGGTGATGTGATTGGAAGAATGGTGGTCAAGGAGGTGATGGACTTGGGATTTGTTTGGGAGATAAAAAGGAGGTAAAAGGATAAGTGTCCTCTCCTCAAAATTGATCCCTACATCTCACGAAAGTCTAAATCCTTCCAAGATCATCATCAAAAGAAGATCAGTCACTGAATATCATCAACCTCACAAGTATCATTCATTCAAGAAACTATAACCTTATATTTATTAAAATCTTAGAATCTTGCAATTCTTTTCTTTACTATCAAAGGAAATTATACCTGAAGGAGATTGGCAATGGTCTCGACAGTGATAGTTTTGTTAATCCCAACCTCATAGTCCATCCTCAAGCAAACTACCGATCCTCAATCTCTCAGCCAACCCCTTCTCAACCAAGCAATGTCACAAATGCATGGTTACTGCAAATCACAAATGCGCAAGCAATGTCAGAAGCATACAGGAAGAATATCAAACGAAAGGATGCATGGTTACTGCAGAAAAAACCAAGACATTATCTAGAAATCTAAAGAGCATCCACAATGGAATTAGCTATAATAAATGTATAGTCATACTAAGCACATATTCCTGCACATACAGCTTGGAGAATATCCGATTCCACATCACGTATATAATAGACTCCAGGCAAGTTTCCTCCAATCTTTTTAGGAAATCTGAAGTAGAATCAACATGTAATTAGTGTACCAGATGAAGAGCATTCCTCCATTTAGAAAAAGAAAATATAAAAAGAATAGCATGCCAATTAGCAAATTTCCCATTGTGTTTACCAAACTTTGAAATTTACCAAAGTTTCAAAGGTTGATTCACCTGAAGACCATTGGACAGTAATCCTTCCACCGAAACTCCGCCGACTGATGAGGCGGCGTAATCTTCGGCCCCTTGGGAGGAAACCTCGTCCAGTACTTCTCCCTAGGATCAAAATCCTCAGCTCTCAATTCCCTCATCTGGGTCGACGCCGGTTTCCTAACAGAGTACCTAGAAAAACCCAAATCAGACCCAGCGAAAAAAAAAGAGAAGACGAAAACCCAAGCTCATCCTCCACAATCAAACAACCAATAGAGCACCTTATGCCCAGCTGAAGGTTCAGCATCAGATCATAATTCTTATGCCCCTTCGATATCATCTGCCCCGGCTTCTTCACCTCCCCGCCCCTGAAACAACAAGGGCTCCTCCTCCTCTCCCCCCAAACCCCCTTCACCCTCCCCAAATTCAACAGCTTCCCATCTCTGTAAACCTCCAATGTGTCGATGATGTCGCAGGTGATATCCCCAGCCTCGCCATCAGACTCCCAAATGCAAATCTTGGGAAAACCCCCCTTCTCCGCCGACGACGACCTCTTGGCGGCGCTCACCATGGGGTAAAAGGTCCCCGTGAGAGCCTGCTCGCTCCAGTTGCCGATGTAGCAGTTGCCATCGGGCCAAGTGAAGACCCCATTGTCCTTGGGCACCCCACTCTCCCAGAACCCATCGTATCGGTTCCCGTTGGCCCAGATCAAAACCCCCCGCCCAAAAATAACCCCGCTCCTCCACTCCCCGATGTACTGATTCCCGTTCCTTGTCGACGGCGAGGAGGTATGATGGTCCGCGACGAAGATGAGGGAGTCCCCGACGAACGAAGATGAGGCGAAGATGAGGTGAGTTGGCCGGCGACAACGGTCGGACTTCGACAGGGTCAGATGAGGCAAAGACGAGGAGGTTAGGGATTTGAGAGTGCGGTGTTGAAAAATTTGGGGATGACTTTAATTTGGCGCTGGGACGAAAATTTTGGGGATAAATTTGGCGGTGGAATAAAAATTTTGGGGGGAACGAAATGAAAAAGGCTTTCGGGTGGAATGAAAATTTTAATTTTGAAACTGTAATAGCGCTTATGAAGCGCTATTTAAGAGAATAAAAACATAGCGCTTTAGAAGCGCTATTTAAGTGAACCCGGAATCAACTCACATAGCGCTTTAGAAGCGCTATCGTCATATAGCGCTTTAGAAGCGCTATCCAAGTAACCCATGTAACACTTATCATATAGCGTTTTATTGAAGCGCTAAAGAAGCTTCAACTGGTATAGCGCTTAACTAACAAGCGTTATTGCTGCAATTTTTCTTTTAAAATTTTTATTATTATTATTTCAATATGCAAATAAGCGCTATTCAAGCAGCCACTTAGATAGCGCTTTTAAAAAGCGCTATCTAAGTGGCGCTTCCTAAGCCTAAATCTGTAGTAGTGATTCATGACAATATCGATTTTGTTCCATAAAGTTTCTCTAAGATCGGTGTCACTTATACCTAAGTTCTCAATAGTTATGTCTCCTGCAATAGGAGATACTTTCTCAGTGATAAAGGAATTGAACTCCTCTCTGTGCTTTTCTCTTAGAACATCGAACAATTGCTTTGATATCACCTGAAAATTTGCCAAATTTTGCTTGTCATATATCAGATATACCAAACTTATCGAACTAATAATTTATCATACTTGCAATTTTTTAGTTTTCTGTAACTTTTTGTTACCATATGCCTATTAATGAGGTTTGTTGAAACAAAGACATAACTACTCTCTAGCTAACTAATAAGCACATTTGCCAACCTAATCCATTTTTAATCCAAATTACAAACAGTCAACTGAGAGATCAAAGATATAACTTTCAAGAAACATTAAATTAGGTCTGTAGAAATCAACATTCTTCTAAATACAATATCATCAGTTTCTTTCACGGCTTAGTTACCTGTCAAAAGCTTTTTCCTGAAAAGGTTTCGAGGAAATACATGTGTTAACAAGTAAATAGATTTTCTTAAAGTCTATCCTATTAAAACAAGTTATACTCCGAAATGATCATGGATGGACGTCATAATTTTATACTCCAACATAATCTTGATTAAAGGTACTCTTTATTGCGCCAAAACCTGGACATTTATGAAGCCATATATTATGTGTTGGATCTAAACGAAAACTTGAGATCTAAAACCATATAGCCATGATTAATTCAAAGAGATTAACAAAAATCTAAAAAGAGCGGAAGCTTATACCTGAATCCATAGATTGATCTTGATTTTGGGTTTTGGATCTTCTAACCTTAGGGTTCTCTCTAAAACCGAATTTCTCTAGCTAGATGGGGGTGTAGAGAATTAGAGAATGTAACCCTAGGTTAGGGACCATAACCCCTTATTTATAGATGTTGTACATTTGTAATTTAGTCCCTCAATAAATCACAATTACAACCTGGTATCTGCACATATAACCCCATGATTATATTTAAATACCCATTAACCCAACTTAATTGATCACTTTAGTGGGTTATCCTGAAAGATAGCAATACACATTGATTAATCATATGTGCCCACAAATAGATTTATTAGATTAAATCCAACAATCTCCCACTTGGGCACCATATGATTCCTTAAATTGTGTATAACCTTATGAGCTCAAAAAATGCTATCACTGAAAGGGTATTTCCGAACAATCTCGTCCATTGACTATATCAATATAGGATCAAAGCGGCCTTCGTCACATTTATCGTGACTCGATCCATCAATGGTCACATATACCAATACAATCAAACGACATAGATCAATCATGGATGCGCAGCATGAAAATTACATGCAATGTGATCAGTACATGTCTATTTTCAACTGGTCCTCCTTAGTGAGGTCAAAACCAAACATAATGTAACAGAGTGTCTTAACTGAATACTTTATTCTGATCAGACAATACAACCAAACATAAAGCACCACAAATACAAACTCCCACTAAAACATAATATCCTCAAATAATACCACACCCATATGAGCAGTATGCTCATGAAAGACCTTAGGTGGCAATCCCTTAGTAAGAGGATCAGCTATCATGGAGTTTGTCCCAATGTGCTCTATGGATATCTGTCCACTCTGTACCCTTTCTTTCACAACCAGGAACTTAATGTCAATATGTTTTGACTTAGTTGAGCTCCTGTTGTTATTGGAATACATTACTGCAGATTTATTGTCACAATATAGCCTTAGTGGTCTTTCAACATTTTCCAAAATGCGCAGTCCCGTGACAAAATTTCGCAGCCATATTCCCTGATTGGATGCCTCATAGCAAGCTACAAATTCTGCTGCCATAGTGGAGGAAGCTACTAGTGTTTGTTTGACACTTTTCCATGATATAGCTCCTCCTGCTAACATATAAATGTAGCCTGATGTAGACTTCCTGCTATCTTGGCATCCAGCAAAATCAGAGTCCGAATACCCAATGACCTCTAATTTCTCTGATTTTCTGTATGTGAGCATGTAATCTTTTGTTTTCTGAAGATACCTCATAACCCTTTTGACTGCTATCCAATGATCCATACCAGGGTTGCTTAAGTATCTGCCTAACATCCCAACAATGTACGCAATATCCGGACGCGTACATACCTGAGCATACATTAGACTTCCTACAGCCGAAGCATAAGGAATCTTCTGCATTTCCTGAATTTCAAGGTTACCTTTAGGGCACTGATTGAGACTAAACTTGTCTCCTTTAGCAACAGGGGTGTCACCTGGTCTGCAATCTTGCATGCCAAACCTTTTAAGTACCTTATCGATATAGCTCTTTTGTGATAATCCAAGAATACCCCGAGAGCGATCTCGATGTATCTGGATCCCTAATATAAAAGAGGCGTCCCCAAGATCTTTCATCTCAAAATTCTTTGATAGAAATCTCTTGGTTTCGTGCAACATGCCTATATCATTAGTGGCAAGCAAGATGTCATCCACATACAGAACCAGAAAAATATACTTACTCCCACTGAACTTGTGATATACACAGTCATCAACAATGTTCATCTCAAAACCGAACGAGATAACTATTTGTTGAAACTTATGATACCATTGACGAGGAGCTTGCTTGAGTCCATAGATGGATTTCCTTAATTTGCAGACCATATTCTTTGGGTCTCCCGACACAAAGTTTTCTGGTTGCACCATATAGATCATCTCATCAATGTCTCCATTGAGAAATGCAGTCTTAACATCCATCTGATGTAACTCAAGATCATAATGAGCAACAAGTGCCATGATTATTCTGAAAGAGTCTTTCGATGAAACCGGAGAGAAAGTCTCTGTATAATCAATGCCTTCCTTTTGAGTATAGCCTTTAGCCACAAGACGTGCCTTATACCTCTCCACATTACCGTTTGCATCCCGCTTGGTTTTAAAAATCCATTTACAACCAATTGGTTTTGCACCTTCTGGTAATGGGACAAGTTCCCAAACCTTATTGTCTTGCATAGACTTGTACTCTTCATTCATGGCATCAATCCACTGTTGAGAGTTAGAACTTTTCATGGCCTGAGAGAAGTTGATTGGATCATCTTCTAACATTCCACTACTTTCCTCATGTTCTTGGAGAAATACAATATAATCATCCGGAATAGCATTTCTCCTTTCTCTCGTGGATCTCCTTAATGGCACTGGTTCTTGAGGTTGTTGAGTTTGTTCTTCTGGAACAGGGAGTTGTTCAACATTATCATCTTGAGGTTCCGGATTTACTTCTTGAGCAACAACAGGTATAGGAACCTGAATATTGTCAAAAGTAACTGTATGGATTGGATCTGAAGCCAATTCCTCCTCAAAACTAATGTCTCTAACCTTATTTCTCCCCCCAAACTCAACATCCTCAAAGAATGTTGCTGTTCCCGTCTCAAAAATGTTCCTTATAGTGGGATCATAAAACTTAAAGCCCCTAGAGCGTTCAGAGTATCCAATAAAGTAGCTGCTAACTGTTTTGGAGTCCAATTTCTTTTCATTTGGCCTATAAGGCCTTGCCTCAGCTGGACATCCCCAAATATGTAAATGCTTTAAACTGGGCTTTCGACCAGTCCAAAGCTCATAAGGTGTTTTAGCAACTGCTTTACTTGGTACTCTATTCAGAATGTAAGCTGCTGTCTTAAGTGCTTCTCCCCAGAGTGACTCTGGTAAAGAAGAATGAGCAATCATACTTCTTACCATATCCTTAAGAGTCCTGTTTCGTCTTTCAGCTACACCATTCATGCTAGGTGAACCCGGCATGGTGTACTGTGGGACGATACCGTATTCCTCTAGGTATCTAGCAAATGGTCCTGGACGTTGTTCACCTGAACCATCATATCTACCGTAGTACTCACCACCACGATCAGATCTGACGGTTTTAATTCTTCTGTTGAGTTGATTCTCAACTTCAGCTTTATAGGCTTTGAACATGTCCAGAGACTCAGATTTTTCATGAATAAGATATAGGTGCCCATAACGTGAGTAATCGTCTATGAATGATATAAAATATTGTTGACCATTCCAGGATTCCGTAGGGAATGGCCCACAAATATCCGTATGTATCAATTCTAAGACATCCGAAGATCTGTTGGCACCTAATCTTTTCACTTTGGTCTGTTTTCCCTTGATACATTCAACACATACGTCGAAGTCCGAAAAATCAAGGGAATCCAAAATGCCATCAGACACAAGACGCTCAATTCTACCTTTTGAGATATGACCTAAGCGCTTATGCCATAATGTCGCCGAATTTTCCTTATTTAATTTACGCTTAGTACCACGTGATTCCACATGCAAGGATTCATTGTAAGAAGCAATTGTATCAAGCAAATATAGGTTGTCATAAATACTCAAGTAACCGGTTCCCACAACATTTGAATTAAAAGATAAACTGAATTGACTGTTTCCAAATGAACAAGAATAACCTGATTTGTCCAATACAGAAACAGAAACCAAATTCCGTCTAAAAGACGGTACTACAAAAGTATCTTTTAAATCCAAATAATAACCAGTTCCTAACAACAACCTAAAGTGCCCAATTGCTTCCACATCTACCGATTGTCCGTCGCCCACAAAGATGTGTCTTTCAACATCACTTGGCTTTCGGTAGCTCAGGCAACCCTGCATAGAAACACTTATGTGAGTAGTAGCACCAGAGTCTAACCACCAAGTGTTTCTAGGTACTGAAGCTAA